GTTTGCCCACTTACAAAGAAATGAAAGGTCTATAATTTTTTATCATGGGTGCATTTTAAATGATGGAGACAGAATATCAACCAAACATCCAGAAAAAAAAACAAATTATACAAATGTTATAAATTGAGTTGCAGTTCAGTGAGTAAAATAAGTATTTAATCCCCTACCAACCAACAATAATTCTGGCTCCCACAGACTGGCTATGTGGTACACAGATGAGCCCTGTCAATTTAAGAAGGTGCTCCTAACGACAACTCGTTATGTATATAAAAGACACTTGTCCACAAAATCTCTTTCTTCCATTCAAACCTCACCACCATGGGCTCACCACCAAAGAGCTGTAAAAAAGGACATTAGGGACAAGATTACAGACCTGCACAAGGCTGGGATGGGCAAAACCAAAGAGTTTTAAAAAGTAAGGTTGCTTTGTATCGGGATATCACACTATAATCCTCCTTAGAGCACACACTCAGCTCCAGGTCAATTAACATAGTGATAGAATGGTTCACCCTTTCTATGCGTTTTGCACTCACCGCGCTTTTTCAGGAAGGATGTAGGAGGAAGTCAATTTAGAAGCAACTCTAATAATGCTTATTTGAAGAGGAGAGGCAGGCCTCAGGACTCGCATGTCAAGCCAATCCCACCTTGGATAGGCAACCCCAACGATGGGAGAACTAGCTGTTTGTATGAATGTAGATCCCTGGAAATCAATTCAACCCAAAATGGGAATACATGGAGATTAAGCCTGATATGTGTGGAGCTCCCAGCTTGGAGCCGAGATACAATATGTGCCAATCTACAGGTCAGTGATGTCCACTTGCACCTCAGATCCCCCTCGCTGCTGACTACGAGGCTGCACCAGACTAATTTTTCTAGCTTAACTAGTCTGCAAATGTCCAAGTGATTTCTTATTTAAATGAACTTCCTGGGGGGGGCACTCATTGGATAAAAACAAAGACAAAAAGGAGATGCGGATGAAAAAAAGTCTAATATGTGTAAACATTTTATTTATTAAAAGCGTAAGATATTGAACTCACATGTGACTGGGTGGAGAGCAGCAGAGAACCGAACAATCTACTAAGGAGAAGGAGATGGTGCCTCTGTAACGCTGACATGGTCCTGCCCCGATTGACCTGACATGGTCCTGCCCCCAAGTCACCGCATTCTATCTAAAACAGAAGGGATTGCTATGTCTCGTCATAAGTGTTCCACCTGCTATGAATGTCACCTTGTTGGAATGTGTTTATGGGGAGGTACTCCCTTTTGTCAGCCTAACTATTGTGCTGCCCTAGTAGCTGATAAGGAATGAGGGAAGGATTGTAACTACCCCACCTGTACACAAAATACTGATAATCACTAAATGAATAAGCAATATGCATAATTCAGTAATAAAATACAATATGCTTAGAGGTGTCAAAATCTTCAATATATTGCATTTAATGATAATATCATAACACTATGCCAAACTATACAAAATGAAATGTTTGTATGTATTGTGATGTTTGGGGATATTAACACATATGGTGAGTGCTTTAAGGATGCAGTCCACTCGCAATACCTTCTGTTTAAGGGCCTGGTAGCCCACTTTTATTCAAACAAAAGTTCATACATCCTTCTTGGATACCCTCACAGGGGTTGATCAGCCTAACATCCATGCAATGCTTCAAAACAACACAACTTTAGCCTCCTGGTTTCCACTTCATACATTACAACTTCTGACCCACTGGTCCTCTTGGAAGTGCTGTCCCAAACTGGCGGCCTATCAGGCTCACGGCTCTCGTAGCCTCACCAGTTCTCCCAGCCTCCCTGACTGTCTTCATGTGCCTCAAGGACACACACCTCCTGACTCCTGAACATCGTCCGTTCCTATCCCAGCAAGAGCTCACCTGACTCCTCTCTGACTTCTAGGGGAGTCCTCCTGACCCCTGAACACGGTCTGTTCCTATTTCCCAGCAGGAGCTAATTCCCCCAGCCAGCATCCTTTCCTTAAGGGCTGTGCAATCATCGGGTGCTAGTCACTGTTAAAGCCTTGACCCAGGACTGGAGATCTAATCCCTTCTGAATCACTTTGAAATCTCCCAATTCCAGGATCCAAAGCAGAAGCCAGACAAACCCTTCCATTCTGACACCTTTTAGCCCCTCTGGCTGAGAGTCCTGGGTGATCATAACACCCAATTCTACAGTGGGATTGTCACACAATACAAATATATATAATATATATATATATATATTAGTGTAATGTAAATGGGTAAGCCGTATTAGTCCAGTAGAGAAGATGTATAAAAAAACAAAACTGAGTATTGTAGTATGCGATGATACCTTTCTTATAGGACTAACAAAGTATATAAAAGACAAGCTTTCCAGAGTTAACCTCTCTTCTTCAGGTCATAAGCAATACTAATCAACATGACCACGTTTACCACTTAAAGCAAGAGAAAGTTGTTAGGGAGGGAGGGTGAGAGGGGTGTCATAAATGTTGGACCTGGCAGTAAAGAATGTATCCTTATAACTAGAACACAGAACAAATAAACAGGATGACCAATAAACCCTAAACAGATCAGATATATACAACATACATATGAATATTATGTTCTGTATATTCATAAAAAGTTCTGGTAGTGTGTAAGAAAACCAGAATCCACATTAAGTCCCTCCTTTATGGAATTGAAATGTAAAATCATTTTTATTTCAAATGTTTTTCTTTCATGAGAGTTTTTAAAATTCCCTTTCAGTACTTTAATATTGAGATTGTGAATGGAGTGATCTTTCTGGGAGAAGTGATGTCCTACTGGGGTGCAATATTCATTCTCTTTGTGGTTCTCGATCGAGCTCCTTTGTAGGTTCATCCTGAGATGCAGCTTAAGGCCAGTTTCACCAATTTAACAGCCTTTGTCACATGCTGAACACTGTATCATATAAACCACGTTAGCAGTCCGATCGGCAGCCCATACACGCGATCCGCCGGCTCTACAGCCGGCGGATCGCTTGTATGGTAACAGGCACCCCTGCCTGTTTTTACATTTCGGCCATTTCCCGCTCGCGAGCGGCGCGCGCGGGGGGGCGTGTCTGAGCGGACGTCTAAAGACGCCCGCTCAGATCTAGAGAGCTCGGGCCGGCTGTTTTTTTTACTACGGCCGGCCCAGAGGTGTTTAATGGTGTACATTTTGTTGTTGTGACTCGCTGTATTCTTGTCACATATATGTTGGCAAAGTTTGCAGCTGGGTTTTTTGCATTGTACTGCGCCATTCTGTGTCCGTTCCTCTTCTGGGATCAAGAACCACAAAGAAAATGAATATTGCACCCCAGTAGGACATCACTTCTCTCAGAAAGATCACTCCAAACGTTGGAGTGTTGATTAGTATTGCTCCTGACCTGAAGAAGAGAGGTTAACTCTCGAAAGCTTGTCTTTTATATACTTTGTTAGTCCAATAAGAAAGGTATCATTGCATACTACAATACTCCGTTTTGTCTTTTTAGACATCTTAGTGAGTGTACAGCTTGTATATCAGTGTACATTTGCTGTCCCCTCAAAAAAAACTCAACACGCAGCCATTAATGTCTAAACTGCTGGCAACAAAAGTGAGTACACCCCTAAGTGAAAATGTCCAAATTGGGCCCAAAGTGTCAATATATTGTGTGTCCACCATTATTTCCCAGCACTGCCTTAACACAGGTTGCCACTGGAGTCCTCTTCCACTCCTCCATGACAACATCACAGAGCTGGTGGATGTTAGAGACCTTGCGCTCCTCTACCTTCAGTTTGAGGATGCCCCACAGATGCTCAATAGGGCTTAGGTCTGGAGACATGCTTGGCCAGTCCATCACCTTTATCCTCAGCTTCTTTAGCAAGGCAGTGGTCGTCTTGGAGGTATGTTTTTGTTCGTTATCATTTACATACATATTTACAACAAGAGTTGTGCTGGGGTTTTTTTAAAAACGAGGACTCAGAAGATTAGAAAATCATATAAATGTATTAAATTCATAAAAAATATTTTCATAATGAAAGTTAAAATCAGTGTTATTGTGCATACATGATTATCGGATCCCTAAATGGCTTGTATATTATTATATATAGATCATGCAAAATTCATACTTCATTTCATTGTCAATCTTTAATCCATTGAGTGTGAGCAATAATTTTAGGGCCAATAATTACTGATAACACTAAACTGATGATCATTTTAAGCGTCGCCTATGGCCAGTTTTCAGTGTTGTCGATTTTTGCGGGCGCACACAATTTTAAGGCTTGACATGTTTGGTGTCAATTTCCCTAACGTGACCACATCTTTATATTTTACCAAAAATATGGGTAAGAATAGATATTTTAGAACATAACGTAGGGGAAAAACATTTTTGTTTGAAATTTACGGTACTTTTTTCATTATCTAGTAAAAAAATAACCCTCCACACCAGGTAAAGAAGAGTGGACCAAAATCCCTCCTGAGATGTGTGCAAACCTGGTAACCAACTACAAGAAATGTCTCACCTCTGTGCTTGCCAACAAGGGTTTCTCCACCAGTACCAAGTCATGTTTTGTTTGAGGATCAAATACTTATTTTACTCACTGAACTGCAACTCAATTTATAACTTTTGTATCATGTGTTTTTTCTGTATTTTTGGTTGATATTTTGTCTCTATCATTTAAAATACACCTGTAATAAAAAAAAAAAAATTATAGACCTTTCATTTCTTTGTAAGTGGGCAAACTTACAAAATCTGCAGGGGATCAAATAAATATTTTCCACACTGTAGATATGTTAAAGAATTTCCAGTCAAGAGGCCTAAATGAAGCATTTGGGTGTGCATGCAGAGTGGTTCAAAGGACATGATTGCACATCTTAATGACATCACCTATTAGTTTTGTCAATATGTTGTAACATTGCACACATTTTAAAACCCTATTCAGTAAAATTATGTCAAAGCATTGCTTTGATGTCATTGGTCATATTACCAAGATTTATAAAGCATATTCTCATCAAACCTTTGTTCTTCTTTTCCAGCACAGGCACTGGCAGCTACTTCCCCACCGAGTCACAGTCACATGGAAGATGAGATCTTCAATCAGTCTAGTAGTACTCCCACCTCCACGACATCAAGCTCTCCTATTCCACCAAGTCCTGCAAATTGCACGACAGTAAGTTTCTAATGGATTTACCTTTTCATTAAAAAATACAGAAATGTCTTAAACAACATCTGCACCCATGTGTTAGAGTTGGATTATGTTGCTCCTCAAGCTTAGTTGATCCAATGCCAAATCCGCATTTCTGTACATCATGCGTGTTAAGTGAAGTGTGTGGTAGTGTGTTTAAAAAAAAAAAAAATGTACTGAGGTCATGGAAATGAGAGAGAAATGCATGTTTTTGGCATTACATTTTATTCGATATTCCTGAAATACACAAATCTTAGTTATCATTGCATACCAATGGTTAGCTAATGGGCTGTTTACAAGTTGTCATATATGCCTAATGATTTGTCATTCGGTATGGCTGTTACAGGAAAAAAGCCTGATGAATTTTTTTTTTTTTTTTGAGGGACACAGGAATTTAGAAATTGTTACAGTTGGGTTATACTGCTGCATAGAGGGAAATTGGACTCTTGAAGAGCATTCCCCATTATAACCCCTCCTCTACTCAGCATGCCTCAGTCTTTTGCTAGTATCCTTAGTGGTTAGGCTTTGTCTTTTCCTCAGCTAGTCTCTACATAGCAGATATGCGGTTTAGGGGTAGACTCGGTAATATCTTTCCAGGCTGTACCTGGACCACGCTGGACCGAAGGCTGTGGGGTTAGCCTGGAAAGTAGCCTAAGGGTATTGGCCTTTGCATTGTAGCACTTTCCTGACCTGTGTACTGTGTTAGCTGCAGGGTGTGTTCGGGATCCAGAGCTGTTGCACAGCCTTTCGTGTGACCCAGTCTCTGAAGACTTGCGTAGTGAGTAAGACAATTCAGGCTGAAGCAAAAGGAGCTACCCTACAGTTGGTAACATTGGAGAAGTTTCAAAATTACTGCTGCAGTAACTGTTAATGTTGAAGGAATTGAACACTGACATCATCTGCTAGGTGGAGTTTTAAGCCTGCTCCTTCGGCCATTCAACCTAGAGAAAGCACTATCCCGCTGCTTCTAAGGCAACACATGGTTTATTTGGTCTCTTTCCACTGCCTGACTACAGTGACTTGGTCTTCTCTGCTTGCATGCAACCTTCTGCACCAGCTGCTAGAATTTGTGAGTACATGAGGCCTTGCCTCCCATTGGGCCCAGTTGTTCTCTGCTGTGCGGTACAACATGTCTTCTGCTGCTGAGAGATGCGGCCACTGTCACCCTGTCATATACTTAAATGGGTACAGCGGCTGCATCTGAATGGGACACCTGGAATTCCCGCTGCAAGAATCTGTAGGTTCTTGCAGCAGGAATGCCAGAAAGCCCTCTGTGGATGGAACCTAATTCCCTAAAAGAGGACCCTAACATCACCAGAGTGAACTTTCATTTAATTGAACATTTGGAGCAAATGTCTGGAACCTTGCATTTCAACTGTGATGTTCTGGTACAAGAATCTAAGGTTGTTTCTCGCATGGGGCTGATGTCCAGTCACGTGTAGGGAGCTTTGGCTACATGCCTGGAATGCCAGTGATAATTCCAAGGAACATGTGACCCTGTTGTCCTTTGAGGGATGTGGCCTTTTTGGACACTGTCCTTAGCAAAGCCACTGGTAATTGGAATGTACTCCTGCCTCAATGCAGGAGGTCAGTGGAAGGGGCAAAATGACCACCTTCTCCTTTTCTAATACAACCCCAATTCCAAAAAAAATGGGACACTGTGTAAAATCTACATAAAAACAATGCAATGATTTGCAAATCTCATAAACCCATATTTTATTTACAATAGAAAACATAGCAAATGTTTAAACTGAGAAAATGGACCATTTTAAGAAAAAAAGGGTATTTTTTTAAAATTATCAGCAACAGGTCTCAAAAAATGTTGGGACAGGGCCATGTTCACCACGGTGTAGCATACCCTCCTCTTTTACTATACTCTGTAAATGTCTGGTATCTGAGAGGACCCGTTGCTGGAGTTTTGGGAGAGGAAGATTGTCCCATTCTTGCATGATATAGGATTCGACCTGCTCATCCTGGGTCTTCAGTGTCATATTTTTAAGTTTATCGGTGCCCCAAATATTTCAACTCGTGAAAGGTCTGGACTACAGGCAGGCCAGTTAAGCGGCCGGACTCATCTCCTACGAAACCATGCTATTGACATAGTTGTAATATGTGTTTTAGCATTGTCCTGATGAAATAAGCAAGGCCTTCCTTAAAAAAAAGAGATTGTCTGGATGGGAGCTTATGCTAGTCTAAAACCTGGATGTATCTTTCAGCATTGATGTTGCCTTTCACGGTGTGAAACCTGCCCATTCCATGCACACTAATACATCCCCATACCATCAGAAATGTAGGCTTTTAAACTAAGCAATGATAACAAACCAGAAGGTCCCTCTCCTCTTTAGTCTGGAGGAGGCAGCACCCATGGTTGCCAAAAAGAATTTAAAATTTCAATTCATCTGATAACATTACAGTTTTCCACTTTGAGACAGACTATTTTAACTGACCTTTGGTCCAGCGAAGACGGCGGCATTTCTGGATCATGTTCAGATATAACTACTTGTTTGCATGATAGAGCTTTAACTTTCATTTTTTGGATGGCACGGCGAACTGTGTTCACAGACTGTGATTTTTGGAAGTATTCCTGAGCCCATGCAGTGATGTCCATCACAGAATAATGCCTGTTTTTAATGCAGTGTCGTCTGAGGGCCCGAAGATCACAGGCATCCCAATATACACTGAGTGGCCAGTTTATTATGACCACCTGACGTTTGTAGACAAATTAGCTATAATTTCGCGCTGAAGTTGCTAGAGGGCCAGACCATTATAAATAGGGAAGCAGGTTTACCACGACAGTAGAAGTAATTTTTTTCTGAAGATATGGGTAAACAACGCGATTTAACAGCCTTTGAACGTGGGATGATTGTTGGCGCGAGCCATGGAGCGAGTATCAGCAAAACAGCAGAATTCGTTAAATGTTCAAGAGCAGCTGTTGTTAAAGTGTTTAAAGACTGGACTGTCAGCCGCCAATCTGGGTCTGAACGTGCGAATTGTGGCCGTCAGCGACTACTCAATGTTAGGGCAGAACGGAGAGTGGCAAGACTGGTACAAGACAACAGAAGGGCAAAAGTGCAGTGTCAGATTCCTCGCATCACCTTTCAACATCTCGTGGAGTCACGAGGCGGCTCAACGAAGTCATCTCGTGAAGTACTGATTGGGTGGTCATAATAATCTGGCCACTCAGTGTATATTTCCACAGAGATTTCTCCTGATTCTTGAAATCTTTTGATGATATGTACTGTAGATGATGATATATTTCAAGTCTTTGCAATTTTAAGTTGAGGGGCATTATTCTGAAATTGTTTGACAATTTTTAGATGCAGCTTTTCACAGGTTGGTGAACCTCTGTTCATCTATACTTCTGAGACACTGACTGTCTAAAGGTGGCCATACACTTTACAACCCTCGCAAGACTTTTGAGGACACGGAGTCCTCAATCTCTTTTTCTGCAGCCCCTGTTATAAATAAACAGGAATCCTCTATAGTGAGTGTTCCTGTTCATTCATAACTTGGGGATAGTATGTTTACTATAACCACAACTATGAATGAACAGGAGGTGATGTAGAGGCTATAGCAACCATACTATGTCCTCAATTATGTACAGACACTCAGTGATCGCTGAGTGTTTGCACTCGTCTCCTTTCTGACAGCTGTCACAGGAGGCTGAGCAAACGGTGCGGGGAGGAGAGCTCAGCCTCCTGTGACAGCACGGGCTGTCTCCGCCCACACAGCGCTCTGCCGGACTGTCAGTCGGCAACGCGGTGTGGGAGGAGAGACGCCGGCCGCTCACATGGCTCTCCTCCCGCAGCGCTCGGCCGGCTGTCACAGTTTCTCTCCTCCCCGCTGGGACACAGAGCAGCAAACAGCGGGGAGGAAAGAAAGGGATGCACTGCTGTATCGGCAGAAAAATGGCACTTTCGGCATTTAGCCAAAAGTGCCATTTTCGGCCGATATATCGGTGCATCCCTAGTTAAAATAAAGTATAAAAGATAAATAAAATAAATGTAACAAAAATGATATATTTCTATATTATCATTTATATAAAAATTAACCCCTTACAATGAAAATCTGCAGCTGAGCTGCATATTTGTTTTTCACCCTAAAGGGTTTTTTTTTTTTTTAATCCCCTCATGACAGTGATGATCAAAGTATGTCGCTGTCACTAAGTGTGACAGTGACATTGTATGCCAGGTGACCACTTTTAGCTTTTAGAGAAAAAAGGTACACTGCAAGAAAGTAGGGGTTTTAAAGAGAGGTATGAGACCCATACCCATGGGTAAAAAATGATATCAAAATGTATTGTACATAGAATAAAATAGTGTGTTCAGTAGATGTGAATTAACAATACCACCAATACAACTTGTGAACACAAATGCCCAAGATATGCAAAACATCAACCAAATATGTCTTATTATACATCCATTGTTCTAAATATTCTTATTAAAAACACATCCAATTACTGGAGGACTATCAGGTCTGGGGCCCGACGCGTTTTGCAACAAGCTTCTTCAGGGGACCAACAAGAGCTAATCTAGCAATGGAAATTAGACATACAATTACTCCTTTTTGCATAGTATATCAGTAACATACATCCAAAATCAAATTGTACAATTAATATATAAAGAGATTAGGCAATTAACCCAGCAGGTTGAGAGCCCCCCACAGAGTAGGCGCCCGGTACTTACCACACACAATGTGTCTGGAGTGGGAAAGATACTTCCGGACCTGGAGGGGCAAGGGGGCTATTGGTAGCCAACCAACCACATTCCGTCCATTAGCAAATTTTTAGAGAAAAAATATTAAAATGTTAGGTTTTAGTTTTAGTCCGAGAAGTACAGAAATATTTCTAAAATTCTAGGGATGTGAGGTTTTTCCAAATAGAGAACAAATAAATGAATGTATTTATTGCATTTTTTTTAGCTGTGCTGTTTTTGTAAAAAATACTACAAATCAAAACTAGGAAAAAGTGTTTTCTTTAAGTTTTT